CCCTCTCCCTCTCTGTGCAGTGCCTGGCAAGGATGGCAAGGTGAGGAGGGGTTGGCATGTCTTTTGAAGGTGAGGTCTTGTCCTCTTCTTCTGTCCTCCTGAGCAAAGGATTTTTAATTCTAGTGCTGCCCCTGTAGCTGGTCACTCCGTGCTGGTGCTTTCCAGACATACAAGGCTAAATGGTGGATTTGCGGCAGTGGCCTTGCATGTGAAATATGCCTCATCCTCCTCTGGGAAGGAAAGACAACAGGTTCTCTATCTGGAGGGGTAACGTCACTGCTCAGAACTTGATGCCAATGATGTATTTTCTGAACTCCCTTTTAAGTTGGCTTTTACCGCGTGCATTAGCATCCGAGTAAGAAGAACGTTCTCTCCTTCTCTTCAGCCCTTGCAGTGTTTCGCGCAGTGCAGGATGCTCGCCTCTGAAACACAACCGTTTCTGGGGTAAAGGAGAACTGTGCCACTAATGCTGTGCAGGGGTACAGAAGAGGGGAGACAGAATTACATTGGAGAGACCCTAAAATATAGATGTGTCGGTTTATCAGCGTGCATTGGAATATGAGCTGAATCTGGTTCTGGGTAATCATCAGCTCTTTGCTATCAGGCTGAGTGCTCGCCCCTGGGGAAATGATTACAGGAATGAATACTTTGCTATCGGAGCAAGTTGATTCAGCAGTCATTCAAAAGGAAGCGAGTCATTTCCCAAATCCCCAGCACCAATTCCTGTACCGATTATGCTTTCCTTGAAGCCCTCTCGGAACAGGTTCAGCCCTGCTCAGGTTTGGAGATCTGAAGGCACGTAGGTCCCAGCGGCATCGCTGCAGGCAGAGGAAGCAGCGCGAGGAGGGCCACGGTGTGGGAGAGGCAGAGGTATAAACTGGCTGATCTCGGCAGCAAGAGGAAATGGTGAGATTTCTCTTGTCCTCAGGGTCCAATGTATTTCCCTTTCAGACAACTTAGCTTAATTTTCCATTTGCAATTTGAAGCTCAAAAAGCTAAGGAAAAAAAAAAAAAGTCCCTTTTGCGCCAGAAAGTTTCCCAGCGGCAGCTTAGGATAAATCCTATAATCATTTGGTGGGATCAGTCATCATCGCTAATGCTACCGTGGGAAACTGAGAAGGGTTAAACTTTTATGTTGCTGCCATTAGCTGCTTCGTAGAACTGTTCAGGCTGGTTAACAGTTCAGCTGTTTGGCTTGAGAAGAGAGAGTATCTGCTTCTGCCACGCTTCTCCTTGATCTCTGATTTTGCTTTGTGTGATAACAGGGTGTGTGTTCTCTGCCATCGGTTTGCAGAAAGGAGTAGGCAAGAAGCCAGAGAGACAGGAGCCACAGTGGTAGGAACGGTAGCTGGCTGCAGGAGGCCGTCAGCTTTGCCGATCTCATGGGGCGTCCCAGCAATGGGAGGGCAGGAGCAGAGCCGTGATATCTTTCTCCAACTGCCAGGAAAAGGAAACCTTCCTGCCTCTCGGAGCACTTCCCACTGTGGACTTCCCAGGGCATGCTCTAAAGGGTACAAGGGAAAGGTCCACACGGGCTCCGTGTGATCAGCGGAACTCTTCCCTGTGCTAGGGGTGAGGATGGAGATGTCTCTCCCAGAGGACTACAGCAGCTCGCTGGGTGGTGGCTCATTGACAAGCATCTCTCACTCTCCGTGTCCTGGAGCCTTACATTTTAAGTGGGATTGTATCCGTCTGTAAGTAGCTGGGCCCTGATCCAGTCTCACTCTTCCCTGACTGCCTCTGTGGATGTGCATTTTTCTTCGTGTGTGTTTTAGGATTGCTGTCCCCAGGTAAAGCCTGTTGTCTGGCATGGGCCTCTTGCTCAAGAACTTGAGCTGGATGATAGAGGGGTGCATGTACAGGGCAGAGGAGAAATGAGTTCCTAGGAAGGCACAATATGTGTCCCATCCGATCCAACTCCCAAGGAACCGTGTGAGAAGCTAGGAGGTGGTCTTGCAGTGCGTCACGTTTCACAGTGACCTGTGTTCATCCAGCTGCGGCAGTCCCCTTCCCCCTTGACTTGCTTCTTATTTATATGTAGTCATACTCTTGCCTTATACAGTGACCATAGTGGCTGGCACCTTTTGGCCACTCATCCCACAGTCACCTTACTCCTTTTGCTCTTCAGGAGAAGGGCGGGAAAAAAAGGCAAGGCAAATTAAACCAAAGCAAAGTGATAGGAACTCCTGAATTATGTACTGCTTTTTCTGTGCTGTTCTAGCTAAATGCCTTTCCCTTAACTCCGTATTCCCACTCCAGTGCAGGTATTAACTCTCTCCTTATTTCTATGTTAGCTTCACTTTGTTCTGAACAGCTCGCATTTTTGGAGAACGTTTTTACTCAAGTGGCCAAGTACAATTGCAGCTGCTGTTAGCAGGAAGGTGGAAAAGGTCACCTCGATTCTGGTACACATGGAACACAGTTCTCGGACAGTTGCATCTTTTCTTGTACTTCTCCTTCCAGGGGTAAATGGGGATGGGTTTTGATGGAGAAGAGGCTAAGGACTTGAATTAATCTTTGGTAAACTCTATTAACTGTCGCTGGATCGGTTGCATTGGATTCATGTTTTGATAGTTATCTTCCCAACTAAAAGGGCAAGGGGATTTTTTTAATAAAAGCTTGGATTCTGGAGCACAATTATACATGAGGCTTAAAAAACCCTACAATCGTGTGTCTATTTGCACAGCTGTATAATTGCGTTATGCACGGGGCCCTGAGCTGGCACAATGGCAGGTTAAAATGCTGTGTGTATTGCTAAAATGAGGGTCAGCTGTATCAATGCGGGTTGTTAATACAAGGACCAGTAATACTGTGTTAGCCAGCAATAAGCAACTTGCAAAGAGGTCAGATGAAGCATCCCAGGCTATAGAGACTGGAAATCTCCAGGACAGGCAGCAGTGGTGGGTAGCAGCAGTGAAGGATGCGGTGGTAGAAGTCCATCCCTGTGTGGCTAAGTGTGGGCCGTGAGCTATTCTGTGCTGCGTAGGCTCTTACACTTTTAAAACATTCCTTTTCTTGTCATCTTTACTACAGAGAGAAATAACTACGGGAAAAGAAAAAAGGTTATGATTCATTTGATGTCCTGACAAATTAGTAGCAGAGGGAGACCTACCCTGGGCTTTGCTTACTCCTCCCCCTGACTTTTTGCTACTGTACCAAGTCTGGCTGGATGTCTTTTTTAAAAGATCTCTTTTATACTAATTAATTTGCTGCTTATGTATAGGAGGGTTGGTAATATTAGCAGAATGTTTATCCATCAGTTACCTATATACCTATACTATATACCTCTATACCTATACTTTGAAAGGACACTGTAGAGAGGTTGGTGCTGGTCTCTTCTCATAGGTAGTTAATGACAGAACAAGAGGGAATGGCTTCAAGCTCCAACAGGGTAGATTTAGACTGAACATTAGGAAAGAATTTTTCACAGAAAGAGTGGTCGGGCACTGGAATAGGCTGCCCAGGGAGGTGGTTGAGTCTCCATCCCTGGATGTGTTTAAGAGACGTTTAGATGTGGTGTTGGGGGATATGGTGTAGGGGAGAACTTTGTGGAGTAGGGTAGATGGTTGGACTCGATGATCCCAAGGGTCTCTTCCAACCTAGACAATTCTGTGATTCTATATGGTTCAACCAGGTTCTCTCTGTTCAAAATCTTAAGCTGGGTATGAGATTTAGGGTAGGGATCTCAAGGCTTATTTTTGTTACTAAATCACGCACACGATGACTCCTGCATTAGAGATCATGAACTTCTCACTCTTCCTCGGAGCCCGTAACGCTGTGGAGCCTGAACAGTCCTGCCTGGCAATCCCCCAGCAGCACCAGGGTCAGCCTTGCAGCAGGCACCGCTCGGGGCTATGGTGCATGTGAGGTCCTAGAGGTGACCCCAGCGGGAAGGGAGCAGGGCCGTGCTGGGGCCAGAGCGCGGCCGCAGGGCTGGTGCTGCCCCTGCTCCATGCCATGCACTCGTCTTCCCCATGGAGCGCTGCTCCTGGGACCCGCTCTCCTGGCAGCCGCGCGGTTGGAGAGCTCAGGCTGCCTTCCAAACATCCTTCAGTCTGCTGCTCTGGGTTGCGCTCTCCCCTGGATGCAATGAAAACTCGTCTTTTGTAACAAGCTACTAGAATATAAATCCTCTGGGAGACGCTTTAATTAACAGTTATTCTTGTTAGACATGTTTGGCTTGGGGGAAAAGAAGTTTTGAGGAGTTATTAGGAGTTGCAAATGGCTCTCCAGAAATCCAAATTCTCCAGTCCATTGCAAAAATGAATAAATAAATGAATAAATTCAAAGGAGTTCAGATCTCATTGGTTAAGTATTTTTTCCTAACCTGTTTCAGATCGGTGCACAGCTGGGCGCCTGATATCTCCACTTTGTTCTCACCCTTTTCCAAGAACCCCCACTACTCTGACATGTATGAGTTGACCTCTTCTATATTACAGAGCCGTATTTAAGAATTTCCAACGTTGACACCAATTTTATTACATTTTACAACACGCTGCCTTAAAATATGAAGTGCTGGGATGCGATTATGTTGCAACTCATGTAGGAACCTACAGTACCAAGAACTATACATCCTCAGCTGGTATATATTACGAGACACAGTGTTCCTTCCTCACCAAGGTGCTAACACATTACTTCTGTTGTGTGCTAGCACGTAGCAGGAAACTCTGAAGCTGAGAGGCGGTTGTGTTACCCCCGTGTTACAGCACAGGTCCAGGAAACTGGAAGCGTGAAACACAGCTATGATCACAGGAACGTGGGCCACAGCAGAAAGATGTGAAGGCTCTGTCTCTACTCTATGGAAATATATGCTACTGCGGATGTTACTGTGCATGGCTTTTATCCCTTTATAAGTTAAAGGGAAATTCTGGCCGTGGTGTTATGACTGGCCCTTCTGCCCACATCTTCTCCAAATGGTCGTATTTCAAGGTCTCCCTGTAATAGTCAGGAGCACCATCCTGTTATAGAACTGTCATTAATACTTATTTTTATTTTTCTAGGGTCCACCAGGTCTGCCGGGCTTACCAGGACCACCTGGCAAGAGAGGTTCCCGAGTAAGTGCTTTAAAATTTTCTCTCCATTTGTACTTTTATCTGCCTGTTCAACCGTTCCAAGGGCTGTTGTGTGTTCCTAGGGCCATGTAATGGTTGCTTCAAGCCCCGCTGTTGAGGTCTGGCCTTCCCCCTTTCTCTTATTCCCTGTTGAAGGTTTTCAGGAGGCCACGCGAGTGATTTGCAGCCTCCCTGAGCTAAGGATTGGCATCAGCAAGGACTGGGGATGAATGTTTCCAAATGGCTGTCAGAAGAATGAGCTCTGTCTGTCTCATTTTGTTTCCAGTATCCATTCCTTTTCGCAAACCTGGTGCTGAACATTAGCTTTGGCGGCTTTTTGTTCTGCCCTTCGCTCTCCTCAGCTTCCCAAATTACTTCCTTTGAGGTCCTTCACTGTCCCTAATGCCTTTACTAGTGGACCGTAGTCTAGGACCAAGGACTCAACACCCAAGGATGAACTTTTGTGTTCCCCAGACAGAGACCTGTTCTCTGACTCCTTTTCAGGATCTAGACCAAAATGTCTGAGCTGTTCTATGAGATCCATTGCAAATTCCTGATTTTCTTCCTCCCCACGTTAAATTCTGATGCAGCTCTTTGAACATTGAGTGCTATGCTGAGGAAACATCTGGTGCCGAGTGCTGCAGCTAGCTGTGAGAAAAGCTTTCTGCCTTGGCCTAGCAGCAGCAGTAGTCTCCCAAAGCTGGGCAATGTGCCTGACCTGGATGCAGTTAGCTGTTGGCACCGCGTTCATGGTAGCAAGGTGCCGTCCCACAAGGTACAGTCATGGAGCCCGTTTCCTGAGCGCTGAACTGATGTGGGTTGGGAATCAAAAGATACAAGTGTCTGAGGCTGGAAGGAGGGAGTACTTGGTGCGTGATCCAGGCAGCATCCTGGCCTGGCAGCAGAGGGAGATTTCCTCACACATACTTGGCTAAAACTCAACCCCATGTAATGTCTTTAAAGAACAACCAAGAGGCAAAGAGCTAGAAGGCTGCGTGTTCCCTGAGGACGCTTGTTACGGTCCTGTGAGATCTTGCAGTAACCAGTAAAGATAAACGCAGCTTCTTTCTACAACAGTAAAAACCAAAAGGTCTGCAGGACCCCCTGCAGCATGGCCGTGGATATTAACAGACCTGAACACTGATTTCTGGCATAAGGGTGAGGCATTAGATAGCACCAGGCTCGCATGTTTTATGGACTGGACAATCTGTTCCACTTCAGATATGCTCTTTAGTGAAACATCAGCACCACGGGTTGTACAGCCCTGATGTCTTCTGTTTACAAATACCTGAGCAGCAACCACGTCGGCAAATTGCCCAGAGTTTGCAGTTCTTAGCGAGTCCTCATTAAGGCTGCAAGTTTGTTCTTCCTCCAGCACATCACTCGGGAGAGGTGTTTGGTGTTACTTCTTGCAATCCTGTGGTGTGCAAACTACAGTCCATGTCTGGAGACCCCACTGCATCCCCTGCCTGCTGTGTCAATCACCACATTTCACCTGTACCTGAATTCCACTACCTACCAAAAGTTGAGTTTTTCTGGAGAAAAAAAGCATTGTGGAAGCCATGTTATAATTTTCTGTGTTACTCTCCAGCTGTGGCATGCTCCAACCTATATTTAAGACGATCCTCTGAAACACAATAAGCAACAGAGGATTTCCGAGTTTGGTCCCTGCCAGAGGTGCTGAGAATCAGCCCAGGAAAGAGTTCCCAGTTAGGAAGCGCTCAGCACAGCTGAGCCTGTTTGGCTCAGACCTCCGCAAAGAGCCTCCGCTAATTTTGGGAGGGGGCAAAAGGGTTACTCTGTACATGTCTGGCCTGGAGCACTGGAGACAGAGCTGCTCTGTGCATAAGCTGTTTTGACTTTGCAACGTATTTCTTCCAGTATTTTTTTCTTTTTGGGTGGCTCTTTGGGGTCTAAGGGTTTCATTGCAAGAAGAAGAGCTGCCAGAAACTAAGACGGTCTTTGGGGAATTGTTGCATCTTTTGCTTTTGTTGTGCATGAGCCACTTAAAAATAAAAGTGCAACGCAACAGGGGTTATGTTCTACCTCTGCCTAACCTGACCCTCAGAGCAGCTGCAGGGTTCTTACGCCAGCCCAGCCCTTGGGGAACCCATGAGGTGTCCCATGAACCTCCAGCCCAAGAGTGGAGCTCCTGAGAGGAGGTGAATATTGCATGCGACTTCGTAGTGCTGGATGCCAGGGGAAAGGCAGGATTTTTTTTCTTGTCACCAATGCAGTTTATAGCCTAAAGCATGAGACATAATTGCCCTTGTTGTAGCTCGCATAATTTCTACATTATTAATGCTTATACAATTACTTGGCTCATTCGAAAATCTAGTCACAGCATTTGACTCATGACCTTCTGTAGCTGTGAAGTCCATAAAGTGGCTCTCTTGCTGATGCAGCGCAGTATTTCCACTCCTTTGAATTCTGTATTGTCTCTGGTTTATTTCCCTCTCTCCCCCCGTGTCGCTCGGGGTAAAACGAAAGCTCCGATTAGTTTTTGCTGTGAGGGTGAGACTGTGGTCAGTGGCAGTTTGTAAGAAAAGCTGCCTGATCCCACGCTTCTGTCTCCTTGTTTCCAGCAGATAAGTATCGCCAGACTCGGCTGTGCAGTCTGAATGTTGCTCTCCCATGTAAGCAATGCCACCTGGATTGCAGTAACAAATGCCGGTCTTTGTAAAAGCATGAGAGAGGTTGTGTTCAGGACACATCTCAGCACTCAAGTGCAACCCAAGGTAGGGCAGCTAAGTGGACAGTGGCAGCCAGCTTGAAAATAGCAATTTCTTGATTTTTTAAAAGCCAATCCCCGTTCTAAGAGCATGGGATTAATGTTGCACCCTGTCACTCAGCATCATGGATGACTGATGGACTACAAGGTCATGTAGTGATAGGACGAGGGGAATGGCTTCAAACTGGAAGAGAGTAGATTTACATTAGATATCATGAAGAAATTTTTCACTCTGAGGGTGGTGAGGCACTGGAATAAATTGCCCAGAGAAGCTGTGGCTGCCCCATCCCTGGAGGTCTTCAAGGCCAGGTTGGACGGGGCTTGGAGCAACCTGGGCTGGTGGGAGGTGTCCCTGCCCAGGGCAGGGGGTGGGACTAAATGGTCTTTATGATCCCTTCCAACCTAAACCATTCTATGATCATGGACCCATTAAGACATTCAGACTATACCTTTTCACTGTTCTCTGCAACTAAGAAGGCAGAGATATGTAAGAAACCAAAACTGCGTGTTTCTTCTCATGATTGCCAAAGGGACTCTAAGGTAAAGGAGTAAAAATGTTGCAGTTCTGATGACTGAAAATAATGGCTAATAACGCGCTCTCAGGAGCTCTGCAAACCTGCATAGATATTGCAGTATTGCTCGTGTGCGCTTTGCAGGAGGGTTTTCTCTCTCTCCGTATCCAGCTAGGATTGTTTTCACCTTTTATGTCTCCATTAAAGAATTTTGTGGCGTAAGTAAGAGATCTGTCCATACCGCTTCTCTTCAAATGAATGTGCCGCATTGGCAAGTGTCTACGTAAGATCTGAGGTGCCTCTTGAAAGGAATGGTGGTGTCAGCAATGAAGGGTTTCCCCATCTGTCTGTGATGTGAAAGCATTTTGCCAGGCGTGTAGGGGGACACCTTTTCCACCGCGACCCGCACAGAGGGGTTCTGCGCAAGCCGTGTGTGTTGCGCTTCGTTCCTGCAGGTGACCTTTGCATTTCTTCAAACACCAAGGTTTAGCGGGGAGGCAGGCAGCGAGGCTGGGTTTTGCTAGCAGAGCCGTGCTAACAAGCTCTACAAGTAACTGTCAACAAAGGGCTCCTGCTGGAGCAATAACTTCTGCACCATTGTAGCTTATCCCTGCCTCACCCAGGACTCCATCAGCTTCCCTCCCAGGCTGTCTGCGCGAGGGGCTTTTGCCAGCACATCGATGTTGATCACAAATTGTGACTCCTTGCAGTCCTCGCTGGTGTGGTTAGACCAGCAAAGTACCCTGCGATTTAATTTGGTCTGCAGAAAAACACTGTGAACCAGGATACTTGGTCTTAAATGCTGCCTTCCAGGCGAGTGCTGTGTAAACCCTCGTTATCTGTCCTCCTCCTGCGTGAAGGAGACGCCAAGCCGCCGCATGACAGACAGTCCGGTTGTTGGCTTCGCTCCCAGGACAGCAAGAAAAGAGCTATGGTCAAACTTTCCAAAACACTTAAATAATTTAGGAAGCCAGGTCCCGCTGGAAGTCGATCTCCCTCTCTAACAGGTGAGCAAACTCAGTTAGAAGGAAGTATTTTACTCACGTCCACGCAACAGGTCAGAGGCAGAACTGGGAATAAAAATCCTGGTACGCTGCAGTTGCTCTTGTTCCGTTTAACCTCTCTGAAAAATGCAGGAGAAATCCCAAAGTGGATGGGTGAAGAAAACATGCACGCACTCACTGATGCTTTGGGATGCTTTTGCCATCCTCCTGTGAACCTTAGGAGCTTGAGAGATTGCGAGGTCCCGGCGTAACGCGTCCCTGTTACATTTGGTCTGTGGTTGCAAAAAATCTCCCTTTCCTTCAAAATGCGGGGCTTCCCTCCTAAAACAAGCAAGAACTTAGTCAGCTGTAGAGGTTCCCCGGTATCCTCATTCCAGTAGGAAGATTTTCCAATTTCTAAAAGGAGCGTTTAAAGAAACAGTTTGTTTGGCTTTACTTCAAATATTTAGCTCATTTTTCAGCAAGCCAGAGGTCAGAGTGGGATCTGTAGGTCAGGAGCAGGAAAAGTTGCTTTACACAGTGAAACCCTAAGACATAATGAGCTTTGAATGAGTGGTCATTCCTCTGACTGAAGCTTTCTAGCAGTTAGCAGGAGTTCGGAGGAGGTTTTTTTCCCTCCTTGTGAATGCTGGAGGGAGGGGGGGAGCTGTGCACAGTTACACTTTTGTTAATTTTTGCAGGCTGTGAACCACCACACATAAAAGCGCTTCTGTGAGCGGGGTCCCATCTCCAGGCGCGTCACTGAGATCAACTGGGTGGCACAGTGTAGTTCTCCAGTAGCGTCCTTCACGTAAAAGACATTCCAGGGAGATTACAAACCCGTCACCTTTGGGACCCCCCCCCTTCACTTGGAGAACACACTCAGGGATTGTTCTGGTCTCTGTGCCACCGAGCCCTGGGCTACTGCTGTCCCATGACAACATTTTCCGTGGAATTTCTGGTGCGAGGCTTGGAAGATGTCAGATGCGCATGTGCTTGCCACTGAATTGGATTGTTTCAGCAGTTATAAGGGAGACAAAGCGAGTGGGTAAACAGGCACACGTGCAAATAGTAATAGGTGCTGTGGGATTTTCTTATTCAGCTGTCTCAGCATTGTCCCATCCCGTATGTAGAAAAGAGGAGCAAAACTAATGGATTGATGATAAATATATTTAGGAGAATCCCAATTTCTAGATTTGAGTGGGAAATTGAATTAAATCCGGGATAGCGTGAGTAAAATATAGCTATTGACTATAGAAATACAAAGCAATTAACTCTTCTGTTGCTTCTCCATGAAAAGCGGGCTGTTTCTGGGAGCACTGGTTGGAGATGGGTGATTCTGCCGGGCACAGTAAGAGAAGAGGAATGAACATTGGACTGGGTTTAATAAAACAAGGGTGGGTAGCTTGGGGGCATGATGACAGTTATTGGGGCTTGTAGATTGGTGTGTGGATTAATTTGTAAGTCCCGCCTGTTCCGATTTGGTGTTGCTAACAGCTCCTGAGGTGGATGCTGTTCTGTACCCTTTGTTACTCAGCCCATCTAACTGTACCGCACCGCATCCTCCTCCTCTGCCAAGAATGTGGGTGTAATCACAGATTCAGGACTAACCGTGTTGGAACACATCAAGATCGGTTATTTTCTACCACTTTTAGGACTACTGCCAGACTACACCCTTTTCTCTCCACAGTTAGGAGATCAGTTTAAAATGTCTAGCACGAGCCCTAGACTTGGTTAGAGCTGTTTTTTGTGCGCCAGACTGGAATTCCCACTGTCGCTTCATCAGCAGGATGTGGCCACTTCTCACTTGGATAAGACCACATTGGTCTTTGGGAACAGGATGGGTTTCTGACCTTCCTTTGCCTGGATTACGCACTCTGAGTCTCATTGAATTCAGTGGTAAAGGCTCTATCTTATGTGAAGAGCCTGTGTTTTTCACAATCACGTTTTATCACTGGATACTGGGACTAGATTCTTTCTCCCTTCTTCCCTCCATTTGGTTAAGGCTTTTTTTGTGATTGCGTTGCTGTGCTTTGGTTTAGCTCTGGAAGAGCCCGCACCAAATTTTGCTGGAAGCATGATTAGTCATTTACCCAGGAGCTCTTGATTGGCAGCTGAGCTTCCTGTGTTCCAGGTTTCCTCCTGGAAACTATCGTTTTCAGCTAGGAGTCCCACCAAACCAGGCTGTTCCCTCCTGTCTGAGGCTGTTTTAAGCCTGCCCCAGGCTATGGCGGAGCGCGGATTTCGACTCACTGCGCTGAAACGGGCTTTGGGCCAAGCGGCCTCACTCCAGAGTTGAATAACTGCTGAATTCCCTCCTCAAATCTAGCAGCAGTCTGGATTTATGAACCCTGCTCAGAGCTACCTAGGTTATTGCTTACGTCTAAGAGCTTTTTAGGAACTCATCTTTTATAGAGACTTTACTGTTCTGATTTCTGTCACTTAATATTAATTTTCATACAAATTTGAGACTTGAAAGACTTGAGTTGAAGCGCTTTTGCTACCACAGACTTGTTGAATTACCTTAGGCAGCACATTAAGTCTCTGTTTCAGTGTCCCACCCAACGAGGTGAACAGATGATGCCATAGTTTGCTGGAAAGATGAATTTGTTTAAGATTACTCAGTGCTCAGTTACTCTGGTTACAGCAGCTATATGGGTTTTTAAATGACAAGCTGATACTCAAAACACCTTAATTTTAATTAAAATTGGTTCAATTTCACTGGAAATTCACAGCCAGGAAAAACCATTGGAGAATTTTAGGCTGAAAATTTGGAAGGAAATTAAGAATGGGACAATAAATGTATTTGGTTTCAGGCTGAAAATTTGAAAGGAATTTAAGACGAGGACATTAAATTTATTTGGGTAAAAAATGCTATTTGAAAAGTTCAGTCTGGGCCTTTTAATTGAACAGTTTCTTACAGCAGAGCAGCATGTGTTGTGAAATAGCACTGAGCACTCAACAACTGTCTATACCACCATTGTATAGCTAAATAAAAAAAAAAAAAGCACCATTATTTTCTATTACAGTGTAATAAAAATAAAACCAAATAGACATCAGCGCGCTGCTGTTCTCTCAAAAGAGTGCAAGGGCACCGAACTTGGCTGGCACTCGCATGTTTGACTGCAGTGACTTTCCTTGGAAATCAGACCCTGAAGGTTTTGGCCCCACATATGCTGAAGAGCTCATTGGAAATACTACAGCTCCCTGAGAAAATGTCTTGAGTGGCGATTTATCCCCTCGCCGGGACTGCCTCTACCTAGAGGGTACATTAAAGTGCTCCTCATGCTGATGTAAAGCTCACACAGTCTTGGCAGAACAGGAGCCCTTGGAATCGAATTTTCAGGTTGTTTCATCTTCCAGGAACGTGTTCAAGAGGACTTAGAATTGTTATTACTTCTGCCTGAAAGGTTAACAGATCTTCTGTGCTGTATACAATCCTGGGATAAACTATTCTTAGCTGCTTATTCCAGATAACTCCTTAAATAGTCTTCGGAAAATATGCAGAGTCATTTAAAATATGATGCAAAAGGAGATACTGCTGTATGTGATCTGAGGTAAATGTTCTGACAGTGTCATTGGCTTGTGAGACCTGTGCAAATGTTTAGATTTAAATGGTTTAAACAGGGACTTACCTCTGCTCCCCCCATTTTACTGTCCAGCCATGCATTCTCTTTCTAACCTCTAAAGGCAAAAATCTGGTTTCTGGGGAAATGAGTTCATCTCAAAAAGCCGAACAATCTAAAATTTCTCTTTAGTAATTAGTTGTGTTCTCTTCCATTTTGGCCAAAAAACATGGTGAACACCCTGCTAGGCTTCCACTGCCCTCAGCCTACCTCCGTGTCTTTCTGCTGGGGCTCCTCGCAGAGCTTTGGCTCCCCCGAGCCCCAAAGTGGTTTCTGTTCCTGGTTGTGGAATATTTGGTGTACCCAAATCATCTTGTTGACATGATGCATCTTGTGGTGACAGACACACGCCACCTTCTATGAAGTGTGGTGAGAACCGGCCGCCAAGTTCCTCCACGTGGAGGCATGACGGAGGGTCCCGTTGAAGCTGTCCCTGCTGGGGACATGCTGCCGGTGCTCTGCCCTTGGCTCTGGCCACACTGCAGCCTGAGACTTTCTGCCGCTCCCAGGACTAATGCAGATGCCTTCCAACTCCTTTTGACTGTTTTGTGTGTTTCTTGTGTTTTTTAGGGTCCCCCAGGTCCCCACGGAAACCCTGGCTCACCTGGCCCCCCAGGCCTGAAAGTAAGTATTAATTGGCGTGAGGAGCTTTTGCCTTCCAGTTTGAGAGGACATCCCAGTGGGGGAAGTACAGACCTTTTCATCCTGCCCCATATAAAATGCCGAGGAGCTGAAGCCATTTCTCCCCCCGGCTCTGCTTGCCAAAGCCTTTTCCTGTGCTTGCGAGAGACCCTGCTGTGTGCCTCGGTGCTTGGTTCTCCCTAATTTCAAAGACTGCCTAATTAGGATCCTGCTGACGCTGCGCCTGTGCCAGGGAGCAAACTGCGATGTTGAGATGATGGCAGTGGAATCCTCCCGCTCCAGAGCTTCACCAGGTCCAGATGTCTTTCTCATTTCTCTTCTCTGGGTTTTGCAGCCCACTCATCCGCCTTTGGGTCCAGACAGCAGCGGGGGGGGACTGGCAGCACCCCGCTTCTTCCTCTGCCTTCCTTCTCCTGAAAACCCCTTCTCCCTCCTTCCCTCGCCGGAGTTTCTGGGAGCACTGTCCTCCATCAGTCCTCCCAAACTGATCCTGTTGCTTCCTCCTAGATGCCCTCATCTCTCCCGTGAGGTCTCACGGACCTACTCCTGCAGTGCCAGGAGCTCTGTGTTTCCTCCTTGTCTCCTGTACGCGCGTTCCCCGCAGGGTGCTGGAGCTGGGTGGGAGCTGGAGCTGGAGTCACCCCTCCACAGCCGGACCTCCTCCCTTTGCCCAAGACCTTAGCACAGATGCAGCTCTAGGGGGGAGTTAATCCCGTGCACTGCAAAAACCCTTCAGAAAGCTGTTTTAATTCCCAGCTCGTTCCTGTGTTTAAGGCTTTGTGTTACCTAGGGACGGTGAAGTTCCTGGGAAATTGGTTTGGATTGTTTTGGTGCCCTTGTTTACACAGAAATAGATTTATATTTTATAACACCTATCTGGGACTAAAGAACAGTTGAGTTTTGAAAGGCAACGCTTAATAGAGGTTTTCCCTACCAAGGAAGCTGTAGGATGTCTCAGCCAACCACAGAGAAAGGTGCAGGCAAGACTCCTTTCTTTTCACGATCTCATCAGTAGGCAGAGATGTTATGAACACTATTGATGCTCTGGGAAAAAGATTCTGGAAACTTGGCACGCTGCCTCTACGTGATTAAAAATTAGGCACTGGAGACATGCTGGTGAACAGCAGCTGTTTTAAATTCTAAAGTGTAGTTATATGGCCTGAAAAGTGGGGCTGTAAAAGTTCTGCATCTTAGTGTTCTGCATTTATTCTCCATCAATGACTTCCAGATCACACTTGTTGAGTTTTATAAGTCAAATCAAAGTTCTTTTATCTAACTTCCAGCCCTGCAAATTTAGCCTCATCCAACCTGTAGAGTCAAACTATGTTTCTGTGCTCCAGAATTTTTTTAAAAAGCACACTTTTAGCGTAATGCCTTGTCAGAAATCATCATTTGGCTGTAAAGCTGTATTCAGTTGGTCTCCTACTAGAAATCAAAACTTCCTGTAAGCATTTTTCCTCCATTTTGATGCACAGTCTGGAAGCGGGAAGCCCTGAGCAGAGGGATAGCTGTAATAGTCTGCAGCAGAGAGATGGTGTCATCAGTCTGTGCAATATATTTTAATTTTGTCCAGCTACCGTTTGCAGAATTAGGCTGTTCTGCATGATGTTTCATCAAAAAGAAGTATTAAGTTTGCAATGGGATGTGAGAGCTCTAACGCAGCTCTACCCCTATCAGGGAGAGTGTGCTAAGCCATGATTGCAAGATCTTTGCATATGAAGCACTGTTTGGAAGGTGTGTATCAGATCCCAGTGCTTTGACCTCCCTCCTTCCCTTCATTCCTCTGCTGTTACACTAGTCCCGGAAGATGGACTTGGCATTAAAAAAAAATATTGATATTTCACTCCCTTACATTTTAAATGCATCTACCCTTCACCAGGAGTGACAAGCCTGCACCTGGGACCTGGTATCTTCTTAGCAGACCCAGCCTATGGTTGAAGTTATGGACTTGTGAAAGCTCAGTCTGGGCAACGAGGCAGAGCAGCCCCAACTAGAACTTCTCTTGCTGAGAGCCTTCACGTGGCTGCCAGACTGGGTCTTCCCTAGATAGCAGTTAATACCATGGAAAAAACAAGCAATCCAAGAAAGGAAACTGCAGTTTCTCAGATAGCTAGAGCTTGGAAACAATGACTAACACCAAGTTATTGTCACTTAGGAAGTAACCCAGGAGCATAATTTTTATCAACTGGATTAACAGAGCACTTGTAAGGTCAGGTGATCAGCTGCGTGCGAGGGATGCGATGTGGCATTGCAGCTGGCAGAGATGTCTGTGTTTGTGCATGTTTCTTGTCCAGTTGTATTGCATTGATGAACACCAACCTTGTGTTATTGAACTGCTGCATTTCTGAAGCTATCCTGTGCAGAATCCAACTTATTCTCATCACTGGAGCTCAGCACTTGTAATTCCTTGTACTTAAGAAGCACAGAGCCATACATGGCTGTTGAACCATATTCCCACTGATCTGTTTGGGCACGATTCTCCTGACTCCAGTGGCATTGCACCCAGTTGTGCCACCTGAGAATTGTTGGTTGAGCCATTGAGAATTGCTGGTTGTGTGACCTGTAAGCTGCTGGTGGGTGCAGGAGGACCTTTTTTGCTAACGACTAGATGTAGCTCCAAGGATGCCCTAATAGAGTTTGGGACTGGGAGGAGGGTTAGCTGTCAGACAGGGTGTGTTTTCAAAAGCCATTAGAAGAGTTGGGTTTGCATCTCTCATCTGGAGCCTTTTGGCATCAGGCGTTAGTATGGGTTGCTTAGTCAGCAGCTCTGGATAAATTTCTCTTGTTATAACATCAGGAAAATTTTAATTTTCCTTTTAGTGAATGGTTTGGCTCCGAGATAGCGCATCAGTTTGGCTCACTGATGTTTAGAATACTAGTAATGGGATTGCAAAGCTGAGATGTTTAAATTGCACAATTCTAGGCTTCTCCCAGGTAGGGGAAAAAAAGAAGAGAACAATTTCTTCCTTTACAAGAGGAAGTACTGCGCTCTGTCAGTTGGGGTGGAAAAGAGGGGACCTTGCAGGTGAGGTGCCGTGGCTTAGTGATGGACAAGGCTTAGGCTAGTTCCCATGTTGTGGCTGCTGTGTGAGAAGAGTTGGGCAATTAATCCACAATTTCAGCCCTCAGCATCCAGGCATCCGTTCTCTCTGGCCCTGATGCCGTCTTGGTGATTGATCTTAGGGCAGCGTTATCCTGCTCGTGGCTGAGTTCTCCACCTATGTGATGGGCTCGGCAGTGTCAAACACAGAACCGTGATACAAATCGCAGCCTTTGCTAAGGTGATGTGGAGCTTCCCAGGGAAAAATGTAAGAGGCTTGTATTCCTTTACAGGATTCAGCCATTGCATTGAGCGTGTGGAGAGATTTAGGGAGAATGGTGGGTGTCTACCTGCTGCAGTAAATTAGTTTTGCAGAGTAGAAATTAATGCTCTGCAATCCTGAAGACAGCTTTGATCTGTTCCATGCGATCGTAGCACCCATTGACTGCTCTGAAGCTCAAAGAGCAGGAGAATTACCCTGATAACAGCTGCATGCAAAGCACGATTATCTGCGTGACTTCATTTGCTGTTGGGAAAGCAGGCAGCCTTCATTCAGTATTTGCGCAGATGCATCTGCCTTGAATCAGCAGTGCTCCCTACAGTCCGTAGCCAAGTAGTCTCACTCCCCGAACCTTGCAGCGTGTGGTGGATGGTGGAGGAGGAGAAGGGGAGATTTACACTATGCGCAAGGTGGGGAGTGTGCGCCGAATGTAGTCGCAGTGAGGCTGCGTGGAAAAGCTGCTCAGCTAGCTATAACTAGACCTTTGTGCTGCTGATGAGAAATGCCAGTTAATAAATACTATTACCCCTTTGTAAGGTCTCACCTTCCCTCCAAGCCCTTCGCTTGACAAGCTTTAATTAACCCTCACAACTGTCCTGTGCTTGGTGGTTGGTTTTGAATCCCATGCTGCTGATGTGGCACACAGAGATTGCGACTTGTTTAGGATCCCAGGGGTGTTAAATGGACGGTGCCCGATACTGGGGTACCTTTGTCCTTGCTCGGCCAGAAGAGATGTTATACAGACCTAAGCTTCTTTGTGTGCTGAGCTTTGCCTCTGCCCTGCCAAAAGAATCTGGCAAACTTCAAATCTCTTCTACTTTTTCCCACTTCTGTCTCTCACCCTGTTAGGTGAACACATCACCTTTCCACCTTTTAAGAATTTGAACTGGGATTTTCAAAGGAATCTACTGGAATTAGATATTTAAATGCTGCTGAAATTCCAGCTTGTGTTCATCAGAAGATCGCAGTCTTAAATTGTAATTTCTCTTGTCACGGTTGTTAAGAAGGAAAATAAAGAATACTGCCACTTAAGATAAAGCGTGCCTCTTTCTTCTGCCAGCCTGAAAGGCTCACAATTGCTCTGGCTGTTGGTAGTGTCTAATTAGTGTAACTTTCTCTGCAGTTTCATCTGTTCCCCACAGTTAAAAAAGCAACAGCATCTAGCAAGTTGTTAAGAAGGATGGTTCAGCCACAGTAATAGGCTTGGCAATTGTTTTTGTGATGGTAGTTGTAGACAAGGAAGAAATCACAGCTGTCTAGTCTAATAAGTATCAAAAGTCCTGACATTGCCTTCTTCCAGTTATCCTTTCCTTAGTCAATTTAATACTGTCAAATACTATTTAAAACTCAACGCTTTGGCAGCAGCAGTCACTCACCAAAACCAGCCCCAGCAAAGCAGCTATACCCGTCGACTTTAACACATTTGGGATGTCGGGGCGAGACGGAGATAAAACAAAATGTTTTTCTGATTTGGAGGCTTGCTGGAAGCAGAACCACATCTATGGGCTGGGTCCTTGGATGATGTCATTAATTTAAGTTTTTCGTTTCAGGGTCAGAAGGGTGATCCTGGGCTGTCGCCTGGAAAAGCTCGCAACGGACAGAAGGTAAGATGCTGCCCAGAGCGCACAGGCATGAAGACCACGGTGCGCTTTAAGGTCTGTGCGTACACAGGGAGGGAGTCCGTACTGCAGCCACAAGCGTCACAGCTACTCGAGTAGATTTAGGACTGAAAATTAAGACTTAGACCCTGGATTCAGGACTAAAGAGAGTTGGCTAAGGTATTGACCAGAGTGCACTGAAGCGCCTGCTGCCACAGCTTTTTGTTGTCCAAGAGTTTACCCCTTTTATGCACAATCTGCGGCCCAAACTCCTGTCTCTGCTGCTGCAGGTATGTGGCTACTTAAGATAAGTATTTAAAATAGCACATACGGGATACAGCCGCACCTGGCCGGCTCTGGGCACGCAGCTGTGGAAAGAGGCAATCCCAGTGTAAGCAATAAACACCTTGAAGGCAAAGGGAAGGATGTTCTCGCCGAGGAGCTGAGGAACAGTGCTTTGCCTCACGTCGCACACACAGCCCACCGCAGAACGGTACTCTGAGAGCGGCTGTGCCATCCCACCTGTGGAGAAAGGGGAGCTTCCCAGAGCATTGCACTGCCGACCCACGGACCCTCGGTGTGATGACCGGAGGCCTTTCCGCCAAAGTCTACTCAAATCGGCACCAAGCTCACAACTGGGAAGCGTAGCTGGTTTCTGGATTTAGCAACTGTTAAGGATCAGAGTTCTGATCCTTCTTTTCAATAAATTACAACTCCCGTTTCTGCTGTTTCACAGCTGAGCGATTTTTACTGAGGCAACAAGGCCTCACAGAAGTCTAGAAATGAATAGTAGAGCGATCAGGGCTCCACAACATCTTCCTCAATTAGTTCTTTCGGTGGTGCCTGCACAATACTTCATAACTCACGTCCAGAGCAAGAGGCCTGGTTCTCTTCCTTTCATCATAAGCCTTGCTATAAACGCACAGCTAATAGAAAGCATCAGCCATGAAGAATTTAGGCCTTTCTTTTGAAACCAGATGCCTCCATGAAGCACAGCAAGCCACACAAGTTCAAGATGGAGGGTGACGCTAGAAAACATTGAGAAGGCTAAGTCTGAGACGATGCTTTTAACTTAACAGCACGAGATGCCTTTTGAAATTTCTGGTGCGCTACGTCGGAATGGCATCACATGGAAATCATCCACCCGCAGAGTCTGGAACCATTTTCTTGCAAGCATGCTCAGTGCAAGAAAGGGAGAGATCCAGATCACTTTTAGCTCATGTTAACAAGGCTCTATTTCTGTTAGCAGTAATAGAAACAAGGAGTTTCCAGCAGGAGTTTGGAGCGATGCCTAATTTTCAAGCTAGATACTCCAAATGCGTTTTTCAGTAAGCAGGCACAGCACAGTGTTAGAGACTCTAAAGGGTTTTTTGATCCTAATCAGAGGAGGCCAAAACGGGCTTGTACAAATGGATCAGATATTAGAGAGGTCTCACAGCAATGCGCTCCTCCGTTCTTACGGTGATTGGGATATGCCAGCTGGGATGTGATGCACTCCCTTTTCCAAAGTACAGGCCACTGAAAAAACCCTCCCACCAGCAGCCTGCACAGGTTCAATCCGTGTCAGATAGGCAGGTTAAATAGTTGTACCATCAGCGCCGTCTGAACTGCGGCCATGGGCTGAGCCAGTGCGGTAGCAGAGTGTGAGCACAATCACAGGACTTGGCAGGAGGTACCTGTTGTTCTTATTGCATTTAAAAGCGAAAATTTTCTTGCTTTGGCAATTTAAATGCCCATCGAAAGGTGAGTGAAGCATGTGACTGAATGAGATCATTGAAAAAAAAAAAAAAAACATTCATTTTTTAAAATTTTCTTGCTTTGGCAATTTAAATGCCCATCGAAAGGTGAGTGAAGCATGTGACTGAATGAGATCATTGAAAAAAAAAAAAAAGCATTCATTCTTCTGGTAAAAAGCTGGACTCTAGCAGCAGCTGCTATTAATTAACTGGGTTTATTATTTATATGAGCGAGTTAATAGAGATGTTGTTTAAATCTACATTTCTTATCCAGTCAGTTTTTGAAGATTTGCAATTAGAATCAAAAATATCAATAGCTGGGTGCTACTGTCCACAAAATAATTTCAGTCACATGACACTAGGCATACGGGAAATGTTGCTGAAAACTAATTCAACTTGTTTGCTTCCTACAGGGAGACGTGGGCTTACCTGGTTTGACTGGGTTCCCTGGACCACCTGGTAGAAAGGTAAGAGTATTCTTTTCTAGTGAATTTAGATCAGTACTTTTGTTTTAAAAATTTCCCTCTAACTCTGCCTAAAAGATTTAATTAAGTCCTGGTACCCAGCAAAAAAGTCTTATTCCTGTTTCGCGGGTGTATAAACTGGGACATAGGCCAAAGGAACTGCCTAAAAGTTGTACCAGCAAGACTCTGTAAGAGTATGAAATGAAATTCTGGATCCAGATTTTTGTTCCTTCTTTGCATTCCATATCCCACTGCACTGCATCGTTCTGCTGCACCCGGACACTGGGTCTTCATCAGGAAGCTGAATTTAGATCTGGCTCAGCCAGTATGTTAACTAAATGGATGTACAACCAGCATCGATACTCAGAAGGTTGGATTCAGAACAGGTTTAGACATTCCAAGGAAACCTTGACTGTCTCTCCTGAAAAAGCTCATTTCAAACAAAATATCTGCGTGCCTTCCCTCTATTTTGCATGGAGATTGACAGCACTAGTCAGGTTTTGCTTTATTTATTTCCATATTGATGTTTCAACAACATTAACATCACCACCAGCAAACCTAGAAAAGGATCCATAAGGATAGAGCACAAGATCCATCCTTGCCGTCGTGTTGCAGTAGTGTGTGTGCTTGTATTCACGCGTGCAGATCCGCACAGCAATACCTTAGCGATCTGTACCTTTTATATATCAAGGACCAGTTCCAGGCTGTAGGCTGGTTTGGTGTTTTTGGAAGCTGGGCCTGTTGCAGGGAGCTGTTTGATAGTTGGGCTCAGTGGCCACGACTCCTTTCTTAGTGAGCCAATATTGACATAGCTCGGCTGAATGGTTAAAATTAGCATCTTGTTTCAATCACTTCATCGGTCAATGGGCCGTTGAAGATATACTGGTCCTCAGGCCAATTAGCTGCACACAAACACCTACTCAGGTATGCTTTAAGACTCTGGGGGGAGAAAGAAGGTGTGGAGGAGGCTGAAAGAAATCCTCCCTCTCCACGATTGTTTGTTGTATGCTTTATTTGGAATCAAATTGCCAAAAGTAGGGGCTGGGCTCCTTCGTCTGCTTCCGAGGCTGGTCATGCTTGGGGTGCTGTGTGGAGCTGGGACCAGCAGAGTGATTAATTACCGATCTTTTGCTGTCACAAACAAGTTCTAACAAATAGGGTGCAAAGAATACCATTTTCCTGGTATAACAGCTCATAAAACAAAACCTTGTGGTTACGGTCAGCAAAATGCAATGTCAGGAGTGCAAGGACTCATAGTGGAAAAAGTGGAGAAGGAATAGGAGATTGAACAAACATTCCCGAGTCCAGCACATGGCCTTCACATCTGATTTCAGCTCCCACGGGACAGGGCGAAGGCAGGGGTATGCTTCTGTTTCTTCAAGTAATGAGCAAGTTGGACGCTGAAGTTTTTCCTTTGGTGCAGATTAAAAAAAGTCACCTCCCAGTAGCACTAGTCTGGCAGTGTTTTTGGTGTAACCTGGCTTTTATTAGCATCCTGCAGTAAGAAAAAATTTACAGCTGTTGGAGAAGTGTTTGGAAAAAAGTCTCTTTTCTTTTTTTTTATCTGGATTCCCTGCTGGCATTCTCCCAGTGAAAATATGCTGGTGTTTGGCTGAAGGTGGGCAACACATCTTGGCTACCAGAAAACAGCAACGCCTTGGAAATGGACATCCCTCCTGCTCGCTCCATGGAGGGACTGTGAAAAGAGCTCTGAGGGCTTTGATCTGAAAACGCCATGTAGAAACTTTCAAATAGGCAAAATATTTCACCAGGGGAAACAAAATCCTTTTCCCACTAAATGAAACAACTGGCTCAGCAGCATGAGCTGGAGCCACAACCAAGCAGCATATGGTTTTGAGTAGCGTGTCCCACACGGCGGTGCCTGCCTTGTGAATGCAGACCTCTGCAGGGTTGGGGAGTCTGATCTCAGAGCACCCCCAAAGTCGTTTCGCCTGCACCCACCTGCGAGTGTATGAGACTGTCTTTTGAGCAGCAGGTGTAATTCTCATCTTCTCCGCGCAGAGCAAACGTTGCTTTTGCTGAGCAGCAGTTCTCGGGAACGATGTCAGGACGTGGCTGTCCGCTCTGTCCTCCTCTGTCCACCTCTCTCCACGAGGTGTCTGTGGGCTTTGGCTTTGGTTTGTGGGCTGCAGACTGCAGCCGCCTCACAGGTACATCTCAGCAGAGCGCTGCACCCTTGCTCCCATCCGCGAACGCTGCGGAGGAGAAAATGGTTGTAGCAAAGTGCAAGACTCGTACAAGACAGCAGCAGTGAGAGAGAAAAAGCTTCGCTAAAGTCACTCAGGGAGTAAAGACAGAGCTGGGATTTGGTCAGTGCTTCAAAACGCATCCTGTCACGCAGATCTCATCCGCGGGCCTCTTTACTCTTCACATTTCCTATCAAAGTGCAGGATGATCCGTTTTAGCTGGGAGAGCGTGGATTATAAATATCATCACAGATGAGTAAATCCTTCACTGGAGTGCAATTTCCTTTCTAAATCACAGCCCTTTGTGTTGAGCACCCTGTAATCATCAGGAAGTGTTTGGATAAAAGAGCAAATGCAGTTGTTTTCATACCCTCTGCCCTGTCATTTTAGTGCTATTTGAAGAGGATTTTAGCAGGTAAATACTTTCACATTCCAGCCAGCTTTAGCATACACAAGCTTTTCTGTTTTCTCCTCGCTATAATTAACCTGAGACAGAAAGAACTGGAGTATACTGTAAAGAGACACGCAGTTGAAGCTTCCCAGAGCTCAGTATATATAGTGGGGAGGATATTTAATAGGGTACAACAGTAGTAGAGTGTCTATGTATTTAACTTGTGCCATTCACTTACCATTATGGCGATAGCAGTGCAATGCTTGGTGCAGACTTTAGCTCAGGGCATGCTTTGAGCATCTCAAGGGGCTGTCATCTAACCACCTGCTCTGGGTGGACACCACAGGCTTGAAGGGGCTGTCCTGCAGGAACTCAATCAGAGCAGAAGGATTTGGAGAAGCCAAGCTAGGCACCTCTTTCTTATCTGTGTAAGCAGCGAGACATCTCTAAGTGTTTGTACCCGTGGAAGTAGGTGCTCCAGCTGTCTGCAGACAAAGGTAGTTTCTGCTCCAGACTCTGGCTGGAGGAGACGGGCAGAGGTCCCAGGAGGAAACCCCATGGGCTCCGTGCTAGATCCTGGGGCATGTCTGGAGATGTTGAACCCAGAGCTGTTTCTGTTGGCAGCTGTCTCTGGAAGAGGTCGGAGTGGGGAGAGCAGAATAGATGCTCTCCGTCTGCACAGCGCCCTGCTGGTCCATGCTCCAGGGATGGGTCATACCAATACTGGGCCTTCCAAACCCAGGTGGGTCTGGACCTTCACAACATGCCTTCACCTTCAGGTCAGACACACAGCCAAGGGTGGAGCATCCTCCCTCCTTTCTGCTGACGCGGAACCTCTGTCACGGAGTCAGGGAGAGGATGAGCAAGAAGGGATCTCATGGGGCAGATTCCTGGAGAGGGGCAGGGAGTCCCATCTGCTGGTCCTGCTCCAAGAGCTGCTGAGGCACTCCCAATTAGGAACCACTGGCTGAAATGCACAAACAGGGCTCAGGACCTTCTAGGTGGTTCAAATAGGGGCCAGCCAGTAGCCAAATGGTCTCTTAGGTCAGCCACCGCCACCTCAGACGGTGCAGCTCAGTCAGAAGACCAGGTTGTGATACATCAGCAAGGTCAAGCAGGAGAGAATCGGTGAAAGGGGAATCGATGTTTTTCCAGGCCAAAATGTCTGAAATAATGAGCAAGGAGGAATGCAAAGGGGAGTGGGTAGTAGCCAGGATGGCTGAGAGCATTGCATACCTCCGCCAGCGAAGGCTTAGGCTGCAGGTCTAGAATAGCCCATGGGAAGAATAAAAAAGCTGTTAAGCAGAGGTGTGGACCTGGGAGCAGAAACAGGCCTGGGTTCATCTGGTGAGCGAAGCAAAAGGCCAAGTCCTCGGCCAACCCAGGGCTTGGTCACGGCTTCCCGAGCCGGGGATGCTCCTCTGTGGCTTCGCAGACGGGCAGTGTGTGCCCAGAGCCCTGGCGTGGGACGGGGTGAGTAGCAGGGGCTGAGTTACCATTAGCAGTTGTAACCCACCCTGGAAGCATTTTGTTGTTTCTGCAGTATTTGTGTAAGGATTGTTTCTTGTTTATTTTCTCTCTCCGTTTGTTTCAAGTTAAAATTTCTGCCCTTTCTTCTTAATCTTGTGTCGTGGTTTAACCCCAGCCGGCAGCCAGGACCACGCAGCCGCTCACGCAGTTCTCCCCTTCCCCCAGAAGGGCAGGGAGAGAAGGAGGGGAAAGGGAAAAACTCCTGGGTTGAGGTGAAGACAGTTTAATAGAACAAGAACAGAAAAGGAAAAATAACAATAACAATAGTAAAAGGATATACAAGACACAAGTGACTCTCAGCACCAGGTAAACTGGTGAATTGTCACCGTCCTGAGAAACCATCACGAGTGCCGGCTCCCCCAGCTGACCCCATTTATCTACTGAGCGGGATGTCTATGGTACGGAATATTCCACTGGCCATGCCATCGCTCTGTCTATGCTCCTTCTCAGCTTCTGTGGAAAGCTGAAAAAAGCCCTTGAAAAATATAGACATCACCTGGCAACAAGTAAAACAACATGCATTATTGTTCCTTTTGTACCAAATCTGAAACACAGCAACCACTGGAGAAAAAACCAAACAACTCTATGCCAGCTGAAACCAGGACGCCTTGCTAGTAGCCCAGCTAAACAGTCATCTCTGTAACTGAATTTAATCTTCTAACCTGCTCTGACTCCGCTTGATGGAAACGAGTTTGTTTTAAATAGATGAAGAAAGATAATAAAGGGGGCAGGGTGGGGGGGGAAGGGGCAGAAATCTGAAGTGCCTGTCACCTGCAGAATTTACTCAGTGTTTGAAGAGTGCTCTAGGTAAACCCTGGAGAAAGCAAACTCTCTTAAAATACATACTGATCAGTCTGCAGTTGAACAGGCTACCTTTGTCCTGCTCCAGTGTCTGCATCTCAAAAAAAAAAAAACCAAAAAAAAAAAACCTGAAAAACTGAGTCAGGTTTATGAAAGACCTGCGAGAATGATTTGAAGCCTGCAACACTTGCCAGCTAGCAAGCTGGATTGAGAAACTCATTCTAATTAATGCAGCAGAGAGCAGGTTAAGAGACAGCTTGCTCACCGTTTTAGGTACCTTTGTGATTAAGGACTCCGGATCTCGTCATACCTTTTAATAATTAGATTAGAAAAGCTGGAAGCTAGACAAATGCAAGCTGGAAACAAAATTTAAGTATCCTGTGACAGTAAATGGTCATTTTGGTGTTTCCTATGGCATTTCAAGTTCTAAAGCAAAAGTGAGCGCTCCGAAATGCAAGTGACTCATGTTGTGTAGTCCCCCAACTTGCCCAAAGCCACCGTTTTACCCTATGAGCCTGTGGTTTCCTAAGGATTAAGGACAGCTTTGCTAAAGGTGTAGATTACAAATAGACAGACCTGAGTGTAGATACAACTTCAGGTCTGTTCATGGAAGGAGTCCCTCTCGAGTAACCCCCAGGCCAGACCCCAGCGGGCACAGGCTGCTGCCGCCCCAGCGTGATGCCGCAGAGTCCAGGGACATCGGCAGGGTTTGGGTGACAAAAGCACAAAGCAGCACGTTAAAAGTTTGGGTGATTGTGCAGTGCTTTCCCGCACCTAACGCCCTGCTTCTCCTCAGAACTTTGCTCCCACCTGCAAAGAGAAATTCAAACCAAAACCGGATTATTTTATTTTATTTTTCCTTCTTCTTACTCATGTCTTCCATCCTATTTGAACAGGGATATAAAGGCTACCCTGGACCACCAGGTCACCCTGGAGACCAGGTGAGTCTTCCCAGTTTGCAACACCTTTAAAGAGGGATGGATTTGCTGACTCTGATGCTAGCTTGGATCCCGTACAGCCTGCGCAGTGTGGACAGCCAGCTCCTTCCCGGGGCAGCCCAGTACATACCGGGGATGCACAGTGCACTGCCGTACCACCGGCAGCTGTGCACATACACTGACCGAGCGTCAGCAGGTTGGTGGGAGGAGACTGCCTCGGAGTTTCTAAATTTAATTTCTAAGTTTTAATGCTCCACCATGTTAAGTTTATGTGGTGGAAGAAATACCAGCTCACCCTACTCCCCCTTTGTTTTTCCTTTTACATTAATTTCACCTGGAGTTTACTAACCACATCATATTAAGTACTAACATGTAATTCCCCTCCTGAAGCCCATTCCCTCTCTCCCCTTTTTCCCCCCGCTCTTTATTTGGTTAAGTCTGATGTTTGCAGTTCAGGGGGAAAAAAAGGCAATGAATAGCAGGCCCTGTTAGCAATGATGTTAAAGGATATTATACATGAATCCATTTAGTTTCGAAGAATTTTGGCAGTGCTTCCCCACCAGTAAAACGGTTCCATATGCCAGATATAGATGCAGCCTTACACCTTCTCTTAGCCTCCTTGTTTCAAACTATCTGCTGCTTTCACTGCAGACGGAGGGAGAAGGAGAAATAGCAACACTTGCTCAATGCATGGATCCGATTGACTTGGCTTCTGTGCGGTTTCCCCCCTCATTAATTTATGCCACTGTCTACCTTTTAATATTTTCTTTCTCTATATAAATTTGCATCAGGTTAAATCCATTCCACCCTCCTTTCCCCCCAGCTCAAAGAACGAAGCAGCCTGAAAGGCTTCCCCAGTGTGACATTCACCTTACCTTCTGTGCCTTTTCTTTTTTCTTTCCAAAGGGCGAACGAGGACCAGACGGCAGTCCAGGTGCCAAAGGTTATCCTGGCAGGCAGGTGCAGTAAATCTCATCGTGCTGTGCGCAGACTAGGGATTTGGGTGTGCAGGTAGCTAAATATATGCCCTGCTGAATACGTGCCCCCGATAAAGATCTCTAGAATATGTATGAGTATTTTCCTTCTTCCCTCCCCAAGATGCTGTATCAATGTCAGTCTGTCAGCTCTGGGGGACACTAAGGTTGTTAGAAAATAGTTTATGCCTGTGATAGATAAAACCTCAGTTTTGTAGCAAAATCTGACAAAATTTTGCTTCAGTATAACAATGGTGGGGGGGGGGGACGACCCAACCAGCAGAGCAGAGATACATATGTTCAACTTAGCTTTTAGCCACATTTTACATCTAATGTTGAACGGGTGAGAAACCTGGGACAGAAGGCACATTACCAAAATAAAAGATTTAGCTGAACTCTCACTAGTAAAATTCACTAGTGTAATCATATATGTAGATACATATAAAATTATATATGTGTAGATACATATAAAATTATATATGGACCATAAATACATATATAAATCATATTCACAACTGCAAAAAAAGATCATGAAAGAAAACCAAGTTTCATTCTGAAAAAAATGCACTGACAACTTTAGGAATGGAGAAGTGTGCAAAAAAAGATAAAAAGGATCAGGGTTGGACACTTTATTGTCTTTCTGACGTAAGATGCTGAGTAGTAGGAAGAAAATTAAGTGGAATAATTTGTAAGACCCTAAATGGAATCTGTTGGAGGGCAGAAGACCTGGCCCTGTAACGTTTTACAGTGAAATGAGTTTGTCATGATTTTTTAAAATGGACACATTAATGTTGGATTCTGCCACATTTATATTTAAGTACATAGCTAAGAGGCTGGGCAGATGTCAAAGACCCCGAGCAGTCTGCCATAAGCATTTCAGACTTGTCATGAGTTCCTATGTGAGTTTTTACCCAGATGCGCAGGTTATTGGGCTAAATGGGAACTAGATGTGCAGAACAAGTCTGCATCCCCTTGCCTCAGACTATTATCTCGTGAGACCCCACCTAGAATATTGCATCCAGCTCTGGAACCCTCAAAGTAAGAAGGACGTGGACCTGTTGGAGCGGGTCCAGAGGAGGTCACGAAGATGATCCGAGGGCTGGAGCACCTCTCCCATGAAGGGAGGCTGAGACAGTTCAACCTGGAGAAGAGGAGGCTCGGGGAGACCTTATTGCAGCCTTCCAGTGCCTAAAGAGGCTACAGGAGAGCTGGGGAGGGACTTTTTCGAAGGGCATGTAGAGATAGGACAAGGAGGGATGGCTTCAAACTGGAAGAGGGGAGATTTAGATTTGGTATCAGGAAGAAATTCTTTCCTGTGAGGGTGGTGAGCCCCTGGGGCAGGTTGCCCCGAGAAGCTGTGGCTGCCCCATCCCTGGAGGTGTTCAAGGCCAGGTTGGACGGGGCTTGGAGCAACCTGGGCTGGTGGGAGGTGTCCCTGCCCATGGCAGGGGGGTTGGAACTTGATGGTCTTTAAGGTCCCTTCCAACCCAAACCATTCTATAATTCTATGATTTTAAAATTGAAGTGCAATTGACACCTCGCTTAGCAAATTTTAGGTGGAATATACAGATGCACACTGGAGAGCGCAGATGGTACAACTGGATGGGAGTTTTGTGCACCTGACTAAATGCTCCATTCATACTCTGAAAGGCTCTTAGAGATTTGCATGCCAAAGAATCTCCCAGGTGTGAATGTGTGTTAGAAGACTAATATGAAGCGGTCGGAGCTCTATTGGACATACAAGGTTAATGAATGCTGTTCAGCAATTCACAGCAGTGTTCTGCCCATCAGATAAGCAGGGTGAAATCTTTGCGCTTGACATGCAAAGAACAAAAGTGCTTTCTTAAAATGTGGTTTGGGTCAGAAAAGTGACTTTTTTTTTTTTTTAAGGCAGCTTTTTTCAGCATATCTGAATGCTGCGTGTATCCAACATCAGAGCTGTTTACTTTACTGAGATTTTACTACTTGTTACTCCTGTCAGCTGTGCTGGCCCTGCAGCGCTGTGGGAGAGAGAGCTTGGCTCTGGTTTGGTTTGCGCATCACAGGCAGAATTGTTAACTTCACCCCAATGGCTGAAGTCTTTGGCGATGATGCATGAGCCAGGAAAGCACAACCTGACTTGCAGATCCCAGGCTGAATGTGCAGTGCTGCCAGCTAAAGAAAATATGGACTTAGCCTTTTTTTTTTTTTTTTTTTTTTCCCCTCCCTTCCAAAAAAGCCCAACAACATTTGGAGCTAGAAAAAAAAATGACCCGGAAACTTGCTAGACAACAATAAACATGAAAATTGGTTTTCATGTTCTTTTTCACAGTGCTTTAAGTGAGCAGCAGTAGGCATAAAAGTAGAATGGGGAATGCATTTTCAATTATTTCCGTAGCTGTTGATGCTGCAGAGGGTTAGAGATATGCGATACCTGCTCTGCTAACTGACTTTGTAGGCTGTAGAAATTTGAGGGGCTTTCTCACTCCATCAGGGCCTGTCTGTGTTCCCTAAACAGGTATTGAAATACATTTGTCATTTGCTATGCCTGTGTTCAGTTGGGCAGGAAAAGGACTCGAGAGCTGTTGGGGACAGAGCATCACTGTACGTCGCATCTGAAGTGTAACGCAACCTCCGTGCTCCCTGCTGCATTAGCCTTTTTGGTCTTTATGATCAGAAATCTCTACTTCAGCCCCGGGGAAGGCTCACTATGTGCCGCAGTCTCAGGTTCTGCGGAGTCTCAGCTCCCCAACAATGGGAGATTTGTTATTTGTATCATTTTGTCCTTTTTCCTCCTTTGTTGATACGCCTTGGACTCGGCACTGAAAGCAGAATCACGCAGGGACAGTGCTGGGGATTTGGCACTGCTCATTGGGTTAAGTTAAAGCCTGTACACATTTGTCTTTGTTTTTTCCCTTCTGTTCTAGGGTTTACCTGGCCCCATAGGGGACGCTGGTCCAAAAGGCAGTCGGGTAAGCAGCATTTCATTTGTCTTTTCTCTACTTGTTTTTAACAAAGGCTTCCCAAAAGAACTTTACACTTAATTTTGCAATCCTGAGACTAGTTCCTTTAATTTGTTGGATTTGGGCGATTTGAACTGCGCACCACTTGTTTATTGAAGCACTGGTAAATTTTTTAAATTAAACACGGAATGTACCAAGATCAAAGTTCACAAATAGTGATGATTCAGAGTCAACCCCTTCAGAACTCGCATTGCAGGAGAAGAAAGAATGGCATACAAATTCCTACCAAAGACCAAAGTCTGAACTTTCTGCAAGCCCCATCTCCCAAAGGCCTCTTTAGTTTCAGTAAATGTGGTTCAGTGGTCTTCGACCATGCTGAATATGGGCTCTTTGGGGTATAGTCCTGGGTTTGGGAGTGATTTATATCATTATGCAGAACAGCAAGCCAGCATCTTGAAGCCACGTGCAAATACAAACATTAATATCTCTGTTCTGCCTGGTTTTGCTCACCAAATTGCATTGCTGGGGGTTCATTCTCACTGCAAAGGATTATTTTTATTTTTTTACCAGTTAAGACTCTCATTAATCACATTTTGTTCTTTTCCTGCAATTATAAATTCACAATGAGCTTCTGAGCCAATAAAATCCCCCCTTTCTCTAACTTGTGATACTTTCTCTATATGCAGTAAATTCAACCAGCTGGCTTTCATCACTAGGAAAACTGCAAGGAATAAACAAATGCTGACTGTGTAGCTGGGAAGGGAGATGGCACGTTCAATGAGAGGGGAGAGGAAGATCTGAGATAGCACAGCTTTCGTACCTCACTTCTGCAAGTGATAAAGCTTTCCCTGGTGCATCTGTTTCCCTGGCCTAACCAGGACCTCCTGTAATTATCACGTGATAGATGTGCAGAATGTAAGACTTGAAAATTATTTTCCACTTTGCACCCCTGAGCGCTGAGGACTGAAATATTTATGGCTACCCAAGAAAGCCATTTCTCAGTTCATCTGCAGTCAATCAGAATTGGGTACTAAGGTGAGATATCTGCATTTTGCAGACTGAGGGAGCCAACAGTGGACTCTTCTCCACCCCCTACCTCTTATTTTTTTTTCTTCTGCAGGAGGTAGCTCAGGAGTTATGTGGTTTGTCTTGGGGTTTGGGAGATAAAGACAGACAGCATCATTTTAATGCGGCCATATTTCCCGGCTAGGTATCATCCCTAAAGGAATTGCAACCTAAAGGGAGCGATAGACTGGTAAAAAAATTTGGTGGGGTTGACAGTAAGAGGTTTAGCGATGATGGAGAAAGAAAGATGAGAGAAAATCAGTGTTAACACTTGGCTCTTGTAACAGTGAGGTGCCACTGAGGGGGCTCCCTGCTGAAATTCACTTCCTCTTGATTCGGCATGTTTGGCACAAATTAGTCCTTTGCAAAGGACCAGCACACAAGGTAACTTTGTACTAACTGCTGAGCAAAGAGGATTAAACACAAGCCTTCAATTGTTGCAAGGGAAGGGAAACGTAGCATTTGTGTCCTGTCTGAGCAGGATCCCAAGGCGCTAGAGAAACGCTGCGTACTTGAAAATGCAACGCCTGCCGATGAGTGTGAAAGGCGCAGATTTCACGTGAAACGTGTTGGTGCGAAAGAGGCTTCTTTGCGGTTGGGTGTCAGAGGATCTATACATATGTCCAAGTGGAGCCTCGCACACCAAGCCCAAGAGCCTGAAGCGGCAGCGCCCTTGGTGCTTGGGTTGACAAAGTGTTTGCAAAGGTCTTGGTGGTGCAACAGAGTTTGCAGGGAAAGGCTTTAGGCAGAATCTTTATCGATTTGCTCCTCTCTCAACAACGGGGTGGTCAGCAGCCTTGCATGTCAGGAGAAGGTGGTGGTTGGCTGCAGTGTGCAACCACCATGGGACATAAGACAAGCAGAAAGAGCTTGGTACAAGACATTTTCGCAATACAGTTGGGAATGAGTGCTAAAGGCAGGGAAAGTTTTTTCTTTGGAGAGATGAAAGGAGGCGTAGGCACGCGGATAACTTTTGCTATCACTCTTGCTAACCTTGAATGAAGCTCCGTTTCCCTCAGGTACACTCGGAGCCAGCCCAGGTAAGGTTTCAAGGTTTCTTCTTGCTGGCTTCTTCCTGCCTGGAGTCCTCATGATCCCTGGTGTGAGGGTATGTGCCCTTGGACTACATCGTGGAAGCCAGCACCATGCAGTCCATGGGCATATACACTTGCCTCAAGGTTTATTTCATCACGGCTGCCATTGACCAACGCTGGAGGATGCTGTGCTGTTCAGGAAAGACAGACTGACTGGTTGCTAATGGAGAAATGTATTTGACTACTTGTTTCCTCTTTTCTTTAGGGATATATTGGTCTCCCAGGATTATTTGGGCTACCAGGGGCTGATGGAGAACGAGTGAGTATTCTGTGAAGAAAACCTTGGTGTGTTGCTTGAATACAGTTCTTCAGAGCCTCTTGAAACCTTTTCTATCCGTTGCTCCTGAGGAAGGAGGCGAGCATGCCTAATGTTTAACCATGCCTTCTTTAGCCCGTTTCAACCCTTGCATGAAGACCTGTGTCCCTATATGGTGTTGACATCCAGCTCAGGACAACATAGGCTTCAGACAGGGTCATCAGACCTCACTGTTCAGTAGAGAGGAGTTTTTTCGACATTTTCCTTCGCTTAAAAACCTGCCTTCCTCCTTCCCCTTACTAGTTCATCCTAGCGAGATGGGGTGGGGGGTAGAATGTACATGGAAATTCCCTGCTCCCACAGGAGTGGAATCCCAGCCACAGTGCCCCAGCATTTTGGGTGTCCAACTGGGGGTGTCTGGAAAGAGCCTGAGTCTCGGAAGGGACAGGGCCTGGGGCTTTCTGAGAATGGCTTTCCTTCCAGTCGCATTGAGTTGGGCAGTCAAGATTGAGGTCTGTGGCTGCTGTTCCCATGGTCCTCCCTTCCTCCCATCCTTTTCATCGCACCTTCTCCAAACCCACACGTTCAGAGCTTTGCAGGACCTCCCTTGCTTTTTTGCTCTTCTCCCCCACATCCCCCCACCTGCCTCATCTCTGCCCATCCAAGCACCCCCTCTTCCCGCTGCAATAGCTCCTAAGGAAGGTTGCTGTAAGATGAAGACTGTTTTATTCCAACTTTTTCTCCCTAAAATGCAAGCTCCAGAAACAAGAGAGGCCCCAGGAGCATGTGGGAGTGAGTGTGTGTGTGCCTGCCTGGGAGGGGACTACCCTGCACTCAAGAGTCGCTGATTTAATGCTTGTATAACTAAATAAGAAACATAAACAGAAGTTCGCCAGCGAGTGCCTTGGCGGTGGCCTTCGTTCGGTTCCAGACCAGTAGCTTAATGACTGCTCCTGCTAAGCACAGCCCCAGCCTGTTGCCCTGGGTGTGGATGCTGCCTGCGTGTGTCCTCAGGGAGGGCCGTAGTCAGTGGGTGAAGGTTAATTGTCTTCTGCTCTCGCAGCTGACTGCAAGTAGCTGACATTTTGATTCCCGAACAATGCCGCACTCATTAGCCTGTTTTGCATTCCCCTTTCTCTTCTAGTTTTGTTTTGTATTGTTGGTTGGCTGTTTGCTTTCTCAACCAGACCTATTATTTTTTTTTTCTCTGTGTGTTTTCCTTGCAGGGGATCCCTGGAGTTCCTGGGAAGAGGGGCAAGATGGGTAGGCCGGTAAAGTTTTTCCTCGTCTATTATGCAGACCTTGTTGAATGAAACTGGAAACAAAACATCTGGCTTTTGGCTGGGTCCCTTGATGTCTTTTGATGGGAACTAAATGGGGACATCAAACAAACCTTTCCATATCTCTTTTCTCAAGCAGGAAGCAAACTGAAAATATAAAGATTGTTCTCTTCCTTTCTTCCGTGCTCTGCCCACTTCACAGGCATTTTTATTCTTTTTTGCACTGTCTAAATGCGCCCTTGGTTCTTGCACTTCTCAGATTCTCTTCTGCAACGTGTTCTCCTCTGTCCTCCCTCTGGCCAGCCTCTTCTCTGAATGTCCTTTTTAATTCCCCGCCATGACTGCAGCATCCCAGGGCTCTGGGCTCGCTCTGTTGTGTTTACTGCTCTGGGCTCCCACCAGTCCCATCACATTTGCCTCTTTTTTGCTGTGATTCTCTCCAACCCTTGTACCATGCTGGTTTGTGTAATGCAAGTGCATTTCTGTAATAGAAGTCTTTTTGTCCTTGGTGGTGGTACAGGTTTAAAGCAGATCAGAAGAAGACATGTTTGAGGAGGAAGGAGACCGGGTAGATGTGAGAGCTTGGCCAGGAGGAAGAGGTGTTTTCAGGCAGGGCTGAATACAAGGTGGAAACTGAGAGAGCTGCATAGAAGAAAGGATTTGTATGGACTGTAGCAAAAGGCAAAATAAAAGCAGGTGGGAAAAGTACTGAAATGAGCGGAGTAAACACGGAAAGGACAGAAAGGAAAGGCTTTCCCACATCAGCCTTCTTCCAAGCAATTCTGCGTGCTTCCTTTGCCAAATCGTAACAACATTTTTTGTTCCAGGAGTCAGCGGAGAGATCAGGCATGTTCGTGCTTTCGTGTATCTCATTGCCTTTGCACCTTGTCCTGCACGTTAGCCCGAGTTTCTCTCTATCTCCTGACATCAGTGCACTCACAGGCTCCTTGTAAAATGTCCACTCACCCACACATGGAAAAATCCAGTGCTTTCCCCTTGTTGCCCTTGCATGCGAACGCGTGCTTTCCAGGAGTCCCACGCCTACCGCTTGCTGATGTTCTCACAGTAAAAGCCATGCAAACATCCCGACAGTGCCACATTCATCCCACTGGCTGTTCTCTCCCTAGGATGGGGAAAGGTCGAGCAGATTTTTTGGAGGGAGAGGGGGAGTAGTGGAAATCTGTACCAGATCTTATGGTTTTGTAAGCCGCTGGTTGCACCAGAAACCTCTGTGATGAATAATTGCAGAGAGCAAATCGGTGTAACGATGACTCATTGACCAGAGTAAAACAAACAAAGCAACTGTCGTTAGGTACAGGGTTTCTGCTCTCTGCCTTGTTTCTGCACAGAGCATGCTGGAGGCTCAACGCGTTCCAGCTGTTGTTTGGCCAGCGTTCGTAATCTTCCAGGCAAGAGTTTTTGTCTGGCGGTCACTGTTACAAACAAGGGGCTCCCCTGAGATCAGCGGGGAATCTCTCAATGGTGGAGGCGTTTAGGCTGGGATCTAGAGAAGGGATTAAACGGCCGCGCGTGAGCACCTTTGTTCTACTCGGCTCTTTTGGAGAGTTTTGGCTCCATCCCCGTTTCATGATATCAGGTTTAATAAGAAATCTTGAGTGGACCAATGCTGATGATTTGTACTTCCGAGCGCGAACAAAAAGGTTAAGTGACATCCAGAGTTATTCAGGAAGTCACTGGGAGACTGGAAAGTAGGAACCAGCTGACCTGGTTCCCTTCCCAACACTTATCTCCTGGCCTGCGCTGTCTCCCAGCTGGTTTGCGGTGTTAGTGAGCCTGCTGTGATTTTTCTGGTCTCTCGCATCCCCGCGCCGCTAGGTTTGCTGGCACAGCTGCTGTTCCTGTTCTATTTCAGTGCTGTCACTGCGATGGAGAGCTCTTGGAAGCCCTTATTAGCCATCCCAAACTGGTAAATGCTCTGGAGAGTAGGGAAGGAGTTGGTATCAAATATATTTCTCTCCCTAGTTTTGTTTGGGGGGGAGAGTCGGCAGCAGATTAAGTGCTCGGCGGAGGAGGAGCGGGGGGCTGGGGGAGTTTGCATGTGACACCGTGGGCCTCCGAGAATGATGTAAGAGGGAATGATTAAAATAGAAGAACTGGACATGAGTCAGACCTTGAAACCCTTCCAGGGAAGTTAAGTTTTGCAGAGCTGTGAGGGACATGGTGAATCTGTCGTGGAAACAGCTGACTCCACCTCCCGCTCTGCTCTCCCCGCAGCACAGCAGCAACGTAGGAGGCGAGTGCTTTTCCAACGTATGGGCCCTGGCGAACTCTTGAGCAAGAAGAGGGCTGGGGGTGGGCTAGGAGGAGAATTATGGTTAAAGCGCACTGCACTAGGGAGAGTGAAATAACACGAGTCTGTGTGTCTCTGGATGTGCTGCCTGTTTTAGGGGTAGGCTGGAGGCCTGGAGCTGAAGCAACTGGTTGCTTAAACCTTCAGTCTTGCCAATGCAGTGGCTGAAAAGAATGGCTTTTTATGGTGTTTTTGTGGGTTTTTATGGTGTTCAGTTGAGCAGCTGGGGGGAAAAAAAAATGATAAAAAAAGGCCCCATTGCTGTGAGGGCAGCAGGGCTGTGGTCTGCACCGTGCTGGGGGGAAGGAGTGAGAGAAGCTGTTGTTACCTTCTGCCGTGGCATGCGTAGGTGATATATCAGTCCTAATTCATCTTTAGAAAGGAGATGTACTGTCACTGAAGGAGGTGACCCACAGGAAGAAGAGATATAGCTAGTCATCATCCCAGAAGCACAAAGCTGATAGTGATATGCTTTTCTTATGCTGTGGGAGATGGGAAGCTGCAATCAGAAATGTCTGCACTGCAGATTATATTAAACTTCAAATAGACTGTAATACTTTCAGAAGCTTTCAAGCCTTGTTAGAGAGAGATTTAAAGGCAAACTTTCAGGAAATATACCCAAGAGCTTTGAGCTCTTTTTTTTGTTCATCTTCGTTATGATGTGTGCTTGTATCTCTTTTTTCACATGGAGTATCAATACTGCACCACCTGCGCTGTCTTATGCCTGATTTTTGCTTACCATGTGTTATATTTTTTTTTAGGTGTATTATTTTAAAAGAAAGAGAAAGGAAGGAGCAAAATTTAGATCCAAGACATACTTAGTAACTCTTTGGTTTGTCTGAATTCACAATTTTCGCCAAACACAGCTGAAGTTTCCTTATATTTTTCTGAGAAGCTGTTGGTGCTGCTGGTCCTGTGCCTGGAGCCGAGTTGAACGCTCAGAGCCTCACCGTGTCAGGTACCATGCAAACACCTCCTCAAAGAAAAGCCCTGGCCCAAAGGGGCAATCCATTTGGGTTAGAAAACAGCACAGGATCAGACCATCCCCAGGGCTGGAAGGTTTAGGGAACAGTAGCATGAGCAAGTCGGTCACACCCCAAGCAGCCTTTCGGCTTCCCTGCCTGTCTAGCTGTGCTCAGCATCACCGGTCTGTCTTTTGTCCCCCTGCCAACATGTTGCTGAAGTTCTGCTCCGAGGAGATAGTTTGGCAGGTGGCGTAGACCATTAAGCAGCAGGCACAGAGGGAGGGTTTGCACTCGGGATGTGTGGTCGGAGGCTGCCAAGGCAAGGTGGGGCGATGCTGCATTGCGTGGTGACTGCACCGGAGGAGGCAGAGGACGTGGAACCCGGTTTCTCCCCGTGGCATGCAACTTCAGGCAAGCTGTTTGGCTGTTCTTGGCTGGGTGCAAAACAGGGATAACGCGCTCGGCTCTCCTTTGAGCTCAGTCGCTGAAACTTAGCATGTAAATGCTAAGGATTACTGCTCAGGTGTCAAGGAAGAGGTGCTATAAAGTGGCACGTGGATTTTAAGTATGAGGGATCAGTGCGTAGGTGAGTCCAGAAGTCTCCCGTCCCTCTGCCTGTCAGCCACAGCGTGGAGGTTGTGAGAGCCAGCAGTGATCTGGCAGCCAGTCTAACGTAACCTCAGTATTTGTTGTGAGCATCAACGCAGTGGCAAGCTGCCGAATCTGGCATCCGTTTCCCATGAGCTGACCACAGGCGGGGTCCCCCTTGCCAGCTCTCAGCTTGTAATGCGGCGGCGCCTTCTTGCCAGGCTATTTTTCATGTCTGCTGTCTTCTTCCATGTTGACTTGTAAAGTTAACGTCTTAACTCCTGCCTCCAGTGAACACCAAGTCTCAATATATTCTTTTTTTCTTCATCTGATAAGTTGTTAGAGGTGCACATGATACCCCTGCCCTCCCCACCAATGTGGGTAGGCTGTTGCCTAATCATGTGAAAAGGCATTGCCTTGTGGGAGACACTAGATAGCAAAAAGCAGGGCTGCCTTTGGGTTAGGAAGGTTTCGTTTTACAGTTTCCCCCAACCTTTTGATATATGGCTAAGATAACTTAGTGGCGAACGTAAGTGCATGGGGCTTTGCCAAGTTACACAGTCTCAGCTGTTGTCCATGCAAACAATGGGGGAACATGTTTTGCCATGTGTCTGGAACGGCTGGCATAACCGCAAATTATTGAGAAAATAAATTTTGCTCCTCTCTGTAGGGACTAAGATGATAAACAACTCCTCTCTTCTTGCTCCAGTCTTTTCTCTGCTTTGGATGCAGCCGAGGTCCCTCCTTGCATTTGGAGGGAACCAAGCGAGAGTCTCCTGCACCACACAAGCTGAGATTTGGGAAACTGGTAACAGCATTTCAGAGTACCTCTTCTTTAACAAATAATTGCCAGACTCCGGTTGACTTGACTGGGTTCCCTGGGGTGCAAACAGGCAGCCCATACGGCGTTTCTCATAAGAGACATGACATAGGCATACACCCAAAGAGCTCTCACCTACAGCACTGAGTACCATGGCTCACGTGGGCTGCTGACGATCCAGCCATGTCTCCTTTGTCAATGAGGTTATCTACCAAAAAAAGGAGGAAGAATGGAGCTGCACTTCTCTTTGAACACTGAGAAACATTTTCAAGAAATATTCTAATTAAAACTGAAAAATTTCTAAAGA